AAAAAAAAAAAAAAAAAAAAAAAAAAAAAAAAAAAAAAAAGAAAGAAAGAAAGAAATTTAGATGGTATCTTTATTTTGCACTGTGCCAGGGTCCATTCCTAGGCCTCAGAACTCTGTTTTCTGCTTTTAAAAGTTCTTGGAAGGGGTCATGGAACTGTCTAACCTCCTCTAATCACATTCTCCTGAACTATTCCAAGTACGGTCCACAAGTTCGCATGGACCAGTGATCCTTTCCATTGACAGGTTGTATGCAGCTATGCTGATCAAAAGCAGGAAGGCTTGAGCACATGGGAAAACATCAGTTCATGCGAGCCAAAAATGTTTAATTCACATACATAAAGCAAACCAGCCTTGTTAAACGCTGCCACCCTCAACTTCTGCTCATATTTAGCACTGCTTAGAAGAGGACAATATTTCACAAGGCTCTTGGCTCACTTATTTCATTGCTTCCAGTATATAATGTGCTGCTTTGCATTTATGCTTTAGGCAACTGCACTATGTGGGTAGTCAGGCTAATCAATCTTTAACATTTTTTAAAGCTAAACCAGCTAGGCTTGCAAATTACATAGCTACATCAGAATATATTAGCTCATGATTCTATATTCAACAGACTCCAGTGAGGAAGGCTGAATAAGAAACGAAAGATTTCCCGAGGACCAGACACAGATGTGGGAGAGACTCTACAAATTAGTCCAGTAAAGTGTTGTGTTCAAGTTGTTCAATCCTGAGAAGTCCCCTCCCTCTCTTACCTCAACACCTCACCAGTGTTCCCAAATGTTACATTAGCTATTTAACATTGCACATCACTAACACCTTAATGTGTAACTAACACCTTAGGTGTATTAAGGTGCACACCTTAATATACTTGTGTTTGGAATGATGTTAAAAGCAAAATATTAATTATGATCAGCAATGACAATATTGAATGGAAACTTCTTTAGCCAAACAGTAATGCTAGTGAGGAATTGAATTCACTAAGACATGCAAGTTCTTGCATCTATTGAGCCAGAAACAATCATTCTAATTCATTTATTTCCATATGAAGCATAAAGGAAGAATTAGAAAACAAACTAGATTTTGCATAATTTTGGAATCTACTGTGCTACTGATGGCTAACAATTTTAAAAAACACTGAAAACAGAGAAAAGGTCAGCAGTCTCAGCATGCTCATGTTAGGTGACTGCCTCTCCTTACAGGTAAGTAAACTGAAGGTCAGCCTGAAAAGAACACTGCTGTTAAGGAGTGTCCCAGTAAACAATGGGAAAAAATAGGAATTCTAGATCCTGCTACACTGTACCTGCCTACAGCCAACACATGAATAAGAATAAGGGATAAGCTAAAAGCAGGTCTGGCATCCCATGGAGGTTCTATTTGAAAAGTAATACGCTAACTGATGACTCTTGGTGTGGTTTGGGAGATGAGTATCCAACCAAACCTGTAGGTAAGAATGAGATTTTAACTTTTTTCTTTTAGACTACTCAGCTTCCTAAAATATGTAGCCAACAATTTCAGTTTATTTACTCTAGAGATCATACTGTGCTCATTAAGGCACTGAATAGCAGCAAGCCTCCCATAAGAGGACTTGTAAACACAATTAAAAATATTATTGTAAATCACAAGTGAGTGGCACTGAGATTATGCCTTAGTTACTTGTAGAAAAGTTACCCTGGCCTGTTGTGCACCATTACTGACAGCACAAGTCTGAATTCAATCTTAGCTGAAGCAGCATGTAAATCAAGTGTCACAGCTAGCCTGTTCATGGGGGGAACAGAAGTGAAAAG